TTAAGGAAGACACATGGTCAGCTCGCCCTGATCCGATCACCAGAGCTGGGGATGGTCAAAGAAGATTCTGCATGCGCAAACCAGAGAGCTGTTCTTGTCCTTTTTGCTTCAATATGCAGCATGACACAAGAACCCTAGAGGGGCTTCATTGGATGGTCCAGCTTTGGACCCGCTGCGACAAGAAATCCAACCTTTCGTCCAAGTACATGCTCTTTGTGTCGCATTTGCTGGGGGGAACGGCTGCTGAATGTGTGAGCACGTCCTGTTACTTGTTCACCTTTGATGTGTTAGCCTTGGAGATCCGGAAGGTGTTTTGCTCATGAGAAGGCAAAGTGACAAGAAACCCACTGCATCATGAGTGCCCCACCCAGTGGTTGGACTCGAGCTCTGGCAGGCAGCAAGCAGAAGGGTGTCGGCACCAGCAACCGCCTCAAAGCTGTATGGACCATATGGAGGTGTATTGCAATTGGTTCCAGTAAGCACGGCGATTTTGCTGCCAGAAGTTTGCATATTTTCTGTTGGAGCTCTTGATCTCCATTGGTCTTATGCCGCTGGTTCCAAGCTGCTCAGCTGGGAACCATTGAGCTTGTGACGCGAAAGGTCGCTGACCAACGTGTCACTAGGAAAGGCTGAACCTCACTACTTCATGCCTACGGCAGATGCGCTCCGCCGTTGTGGCTATCTAATCTTTTTTCTCGAAATCCGGAACCATGAAACTGACCTCCGGAAATCAATTTGGTCTCGTGCCTCGTGAGCATTCAGCCTGATACCGAGGCTTCCCTGCCGCCGAAGGCACGTGGCTGGGCTTTAGAGCAAAAGATGCAAAGGGGTGGGACATGCATCATTCTGACTGATGTAGATCAGGGCAGCAGGCATTGCAGGAGGAGGGAGCGAAGAATCCGAGCCAGCTCCTTGTTTTCATTGAAGCATGAGCACATCATGCGCGTTGTCGTTCAATGATTCGTCACTGTCACGACTTGCAGGCCGCTCCTAAAGAGCCCTTGGAAGTGATCCCCAGTGCATGGGGACCCAGCTGGAAGCAGTCAAGGATCATGCAGCCGTCGGGAGAAAAGCAAGCAATGCTTGTGCCTCGCTGTGTAGAGCAATCGTCGAAACCGGAAGCGTGTTTTTGTTCCATGCCAATGCAATGCCAATGCGTACTGTGGCCGCATTTGACTCGAACCGCACTGCAGCATTGCCGGGTTCATTTGCCAAGGCGTCCACGAAGGATGCTACCACGATTCGCTTGGCCAACGGCATGGTGGTTGGAACCTTAGCTCTGACATGTTCAGCTGCTGTTCAAGATGTTGCTTGCCCAGTGCTGCAGGCCTTTTCGAACTAAGCACATCCAAGACGTTTGTGTTTGTCAAGCTTGGAGTGGTAATCACTCACATACTATGATTAGCATGCAGTTGGGCCATCAAAAATAGAGCTGGCCGTGTTTGACGACAGATGTTTGAATTGCCGCCTTGCGGTTCCATCCATGAGGGGCCTGGGCAACATCTTGCGGAGATGATTTCTGTGGGAAACATGTGTTGTGCAAAGGCCTCTAATCAGACTGGTGCCTTCTTCGGCAGGATGGCATTTTACGACGGGTTTGTTTGTTTTTTTTTGAGCTACGCGTTCAGAATAGCAAGTAGCCGCTGCATCATGCAAATTGGGCTGCCTCGGGCACAGAGGCTCTCAAAGCGTAAGCAATGCCTCGGCGCGAGCCATTGCGATGGCTCAGGTTCGCTTGCTGGTCATGGCAGCAAGTCCCAGCAGTGGCCCTGCCCGAGCCGGGCCGGGCTACCCGGGCACCAGCGCAGGGGTGTTGCAAAGCAAGCAACTGGTCAAACTTTCCAGAGCGACAAGATCCCCAGCAAACATGAAGTGATTTGTCGAGTCGAAGTGAGCTTGACTATACTTGCACAGGCTGCCTGCGGGTGGGCACACAGTTCAGTGCCGTTTGACGTTACTTTGAGCCCTGCAGGAAAGAAGGGGCCAGTTCCACTATGTTCCAATGATCCGTCGCAACAGCGCTTGGCGCTTTTGCATGGAGCAAGCGTTTGCTACTGTGCTGCAGCCTTGGGACCCAGACAGAAAGAGTGATGCCATGAATGCAGAGCGCAAAGCCCTGGTGTCCTTGCAGGCTTAGACCCAGTAACCTTGCTGTTGAAAGTCTCCAAACCCGAGGGCCATGAGGCGCATGCAAGCCCACAAGCATTTTTCGCACATGAGTCACATGAGTTGGAGACTCGATTTAATCAGTTTTTCCTATTCGAGATTGCTACGGACTTGTCTTAGTTCAGCCCCACTTCCGCTCACAGTTTCTAAATCTTGGGATCCTGGCACCGGCCCAAAGCTGGCCGGATGAACTCATGGAGCCTGACCCACCTATGTCGCCTGGCTGGGGCCTGCCTGGAGAGCCTGACCAGCCGCAGCCCCTTGGAGCCTCTGCATGGGGGAAAGCAGTGGGCACGAGATACATCAAGATTCAATAGATGTGCCTAGATATTTACACATATACGTGTACGTAACACACATGCATACCCGCATGCGTGCGTATAAACGATTGTTGTTTGGTACGTACGTGAAACGCATATCTGTTGAACAGAACGCGGACCTTGTGTTTGTTTAGCGGGGACGTGCTCCAGCAAAGCCGCAAGGAGCTTGGTGGTTACCACTGCAAGGCTGCAAACAGAAGGATTTTCATGCCAAGGCTGTCCTGAGGCCCAGTTTTTGATACGCTGCCGTGGCTGCTTTGGAACATAAGTTCAGTGTGTGTCCTGAGTTGGTGTCGAGTATTCTGTAACAAACTATCCTGCAGCCCGTTACAAGCTGTCGGCTGAAGCGATGTTGTTATTTCTGGTGAGCCATGTTTCTTGTGGAGGGCACAAGGGAAACGACCCTCGGAACGCCTCCAACCATAGCGCATGACAAGGTTGCGAGCTGCAGCCCTTCCGGCATCGCCCACGAGTTCTTTGTCCTCTCCGCAGCTGGACATCAGCCCACAGAGCCAGAAGTTGGAGGTTACCGGGAGGAGGACAATTTCAGTCTGCAGACGAATCGTGTTCGGCTTTTGGCAGTTTGTCGGTATGGGCGTCATTTTTTTCTTTGTAAGGGACCCCTCAAAGTTATGGTTTTGTGGTTTTCCCTTGCAACCGCAAAAGATGGACCCTCTCAATCAGATGGTTTTGCTTGCGTTGCCTTTAAGCCCGCAAAAATGGGGTACCCTCGAAAACTGACACCCATGTCGTTGACAGCAGGGAACTGTGGGGAACAATCAGTGTACTCAGGCACATGCAGCTTGAAGGGTTCAGGTGCTGCTGAGCAGCATAGGTGCTGCTGAGCAGCATACTGACTGATGGTTTACGCATTTGGTTGTGATTCGTTGGATTTGTGTGTGGATTGAGACATGCCCATTAAACCATTATCAACACAGTAAGAAGTGATGTGTGTTTTCCCGCTCAGCTGCCAACAGTAGTGCCTTTTGAGTTACAGCGATGGCCTTTCCACCTCTGGCCCTTCCACCTCCGGCCGAACGAATTTGATCCTTTTTTTTGCATGGAGCCTCCTTGAATGTGTCAACCCATCGGCACCCTTGGCCACAGCCGCATTCATGTTCAACCCCCAGCTGGCTAGGACAGATTCAGAGAAGCTGGCAGAAGACCTAGCCAAGCTGAAGGTAAAGATTATGTCGAGCATGGTCAACGAGGTGGAATACAACGTCGGAGATTGCATGCAAACTTCGCACTTGCTCGCCGACTTGTTCAGAGCACGCTGTAGTTTTACCATCAGCCTTGGCTGCCGATGTCAAAACATTAGACCTAAATATGGTGATGATATGTGTTGACCATATGATATTTGAGTGTCTGTAATGAGCTGAGGATTTATTTCACGAACCAACAAGCGCTGGGTGTCTCACAGCAGCAGATGCCGAGCGTTCGGCAAGCGCTGCACATGCAAGAGCCGAAGCTAGTTATCCGGCTTCTGCCATCGACCGGCCCAATCTATTGGGACGCTTTGCACTTTGCTGTGTGATTGTGTGTTCTGCGTGTTGCTTTAAACAAGTTGTCCTTTTGAACAAATCACGGACCAGCTTGTTACCCAGCGGAGGGATGCTATAATATGGAATGGCACACATCTCTTGTTGATTTCAGTTAAGTTGGCGTCCGCAGGTTGGTGGCGCAGTCAATCTGAGGAATCTAAAGCTGGACTGCACGGTCCGGAGGGGAGCTCCGCACCTACAAGGAAGACGCCGGAGATATCCAGTGGGCAGGCGCTGCAATCTGAGCATCGCTTATTGCTGTTGGCGCAGGAGGTGCTGTTACCATTGGCATTTAGATCCTCCGTGCCTTGGCTCCGGTTGAGCTGTGGGAGCGCTGAAGCCAGTCATTGACCTGCCTCGAAAGAGCGAGATGTGACTAGTTGGCCCCAGCATGCGGTTTTTGAGTGAAGGTACTTTGCCCTTGCGCATGGTAGCCCGGTTGCACGCCCTCTATTGCTGTATGCACATGGCAACCTTTCCAAGAACGGCTGCGGCTTGGGGCACTTTCGGACAGCATTGACCATTTGGTGGCTGAAACAACCGCGGCCTCACATTTCCTCTATCTGAGGCGCTGATTATTGGAAGCAGCCGGTGCAGCCTAACCAACGCCTTCGCAAAAGCCAGCGCGCCAGCCCAGCGGCGACTTGGGGAGAACTGCCCCTTCCGCATGGTCGCTCGGCAGCTCATGGTTCCCGTGGGGTCATGAGGGGGTAGCCGGTGGCTCAGATTTGGGCATAATGTGTAGCAGCTGTGGCTGCACCGCATGCAATGCAGGCTCGTGATTTGACAGGGGATGTGCAGGGTGCCATTTTGCCCGCCTTGTGCCTTGAGGAACTTGGTCCCAACAGGCCAGTGTTTTCAATCACTGCTGAAGCAAGTATAATCAACGCAGATGTTTTCCGCACAAGACTTTGCTTTGTCGCCGTGTTGCCAAACAGCCAGCTGGCCTTTTAAGCTCCCTTTCACTGAAATGGGTGCGTCTTCAACTAGGGGAACCCCCTCAAAATGGGTGGCTTCCTTAAAGCAGCAATAAATGAGGGTGCCCTTAAGAAGACAAGGCGTCCAAATGGGGCCTCCCTGGAAGTCGGTCGCAGGTCATCTATGACCACGCGCCGGGTCTCTGGAAGGATGCCTCTCCCGGAGGACAAGGCCTGGCGAATTTGGCCTGGCAAAGCTCAGACGCTTGGAAGCGAGCGGACTTTCAGAGCGGCGGCTTGCAAAGAAGATAGTGCTGACGCCTAATTCATAAAACCTCCACAAATTATGAGGGGCCCCTGATTAATAACAGGGAGGTTTATGAATCTCACGGAATAGTTCTACAGGAACTTCTGCAAGAAATTAGATTTGCTTAGACTGGGCTTATCCAAGGCTTATCAAAGGCTTATCCAAGGCTTATCCAAGGCTTATCCAAGCTTAGAAGTCATCAAAATCGGGTCTCAGAAGGGCTTGTCCAGGAACGGGGATCTTGCCGTACCAGTGGGCAAATCTCCAGGAAGTTAAATTGGGCTTAAATTGGGCTTAGATCGGGCTTATTTTAGCTTAACAAAGGCTTAAATGCCCCTTAAACATGCCTAAATCCCCTTGAAAACGGCTTAGGCCGGATTCCCAAAACCTTCCCGATTTAACTTCCTGGAGAATATCCTGCAGACTGTTTCTTTGAGAATCAGGGTCAACATATGGTCAACAGTCGTGAAGGTGCTCCCCTACAGATTGACATGGAACCCACGAAAACCACCAATCACAGCCGAAGGTTTGCGGCACCACTATGGCTGCGAGTCCAAGTTTTGGCCGCAGCACAACTTGGTGGAGGGCGCAGCTGCATACCTCGTCTTCGAGTCATTGCAGGCTGATGGCATGCTGGACAACCGGGCCGGGGAGCAGTTCATGAACAGGCTGGCTGGAACATGCGGGCGTGCCTTTTTCGAGACCCCTTTTTGGGGTGGGTTTAAAGGGAGCTGAAGGGACAACCATCATGTTGAGGTCCCCTGAAAAAAGAGAGCCACCCATGCAGCTGGCTGGTTTCATGTTTGGTTTCAGGCATTTCCTGGGGCAAGGTGCAATGCTTGGCCCCGTGCCAATACAAGCATTAAAACAAGTCTCCGGAGAGTGGAGAGGTCAGTTGGGCCTTGCTTTTGCTGGTTTGTTTCCCAAATCTTCGGTGTCATTTGGCTTGCTTCTTTCCTGCCCATTTACTTGTCAAGATTTGGTGGTAGGCTGATATCCGGCTTGAAGGCCCACGTTTAAGTATGAATGCACATGCCGCAGTTGATGTCATACTTGCGTGGCGTGCCTGGGCCTTGTAACATGTGCTGTCAATCTGAGCTTTGTTGTTGACACAGCTGTGCCAAGCCACTCTCAATATAAGAACGATGCGCACAATAAACCAGCAACAGCAGCCGGTTTCGATGTGAGGTCAACTGTGGCCCCTGCCAGCATTGTTTGGGACTTTGAATAGGGAAACTAGCTAGTTTCTGTTCAACACATGAAAGGGGGAAGACAATTGCATAGAAATACATTCTTGGACACTTAAACCAAGGTGCAGGCCTTCGTGCCCTCCACTTTGAATGATATTGCTGTGGTTTACTCTGCGTGAATCTTCCTGGCAAGTCTGGTTCACCAGGTGTATCCATTTAGTATCCATTCTTGCGTGGTTCTCAACCCCATGCCAACCTTGTATGAAAAGTATGTCCCAAATGGCCGTTGACGTTTCAGGTTTGTTGCCTCCTTGCAGAGCCACTTGCCGGTCGTAGCGCTGTGGACCTATGGGCATGGGCGCTTGATCAATCTCGGCCAAGCAGCGGACCATGTGAGCTACCGACTTCCCCTCATCCTGCTTGACACTGGGCAGTGAGTTTGAATGTGGAACACCCTCCGAGCTGGCTGGACATAAATCCCAACCTAAGTGATGTCCACCAGAGGGGCCCATTAAAATTCACTCCCACTTAACAGGATAACGCAGAAGAGGCAAAGAGACTGCGGTGTCCACTGCCTGTCAAATCAAGCTTTGCAAGCATAAAGTATTTGCCACTATAGCTTGCCGGGTTTGAGGGCACAACTGAATGGCTGAAGATTCATCCAAAAAAATGGACTTGGTTTACGGCTAGGTTGGGCTTTGTCAACTTGTGAAGCAACACTTCTCAGTCGGGTTGCTGCAATCAGGACAGCCGCAGCCACTGGACATTTGAAGAGGAGCTGCTCGATGAGGAGGAACCGGAGCTTGTGGCCTCCGTCAAGTCAGAGGCAACGCAGTGCCTCAACAAGGAGCTGGTGTGGTTGAGTCAGAGGCAGGTAAGCACAGATTTACATGGCTTCCACATGATTGCACTCAGCGGGCTTGGCAGTCAGGTGGTAAGCGCAATCTTGGAAGACAACTTTAAAGCGGCAGTCAAGGGCAGCCTTAAAGTTGGAAAGTGGCAGCCGTGGATCCAATTTCAACACAAACACGTTTCTAACTGAGACGTTTTGTTCATGTTCATTCTTAATACCAACCGTGCTTGGAATAATGCCGTTGTATGTTGCTGCATTTGACCGCCAGATTTCGACGAATTTCTGACGCGCTGGCGGACAAGACTTTGGCACCTTGCCTGCTCTTTGCCGCGCTGAAGCTGGTGAAGTGCGGACAGAAAAACCTGAAACCAACTGAGGTCACCACTGTCACCTTGGAAAGACGGAACACATGGGACCTTGCCATTCCAACTCGTGGGTCACGGCCCAAACCTGTCGAAGGGAATATCCCGCACCTGGGGCACGCAGGTGCTGAGAACGGAGCAACCTTGCATTCGGCAGCTTTGTTCTTTGCATAGCTCCGCATTGCAGTCAACAGCCTGTAGCTGACACAAAGCAACACTTGCTGCGCCAAACGGATTTCTTAAATGAGTATCCGCAATGTGCACACGGTTGCAGTTGTTTGTATTGTGTGCAGTGTGGCCTGGCAGCTTTCCTTAGAACTGCCTCCCGCACTCAGCTCGGAGAGCAACCTGCTTCCTTTGCTTATCACATGCCAGGTAGCATGCCCCGCCAGCAGGCATCATGAACATATTCTTAATACGTCGTTGTGGAGTCAATGTTGAAGCAGAGGGGAGGGAGTGAGGGAGGGAGCAACTGAAGCGGAGCACAGTTACCATAGTCAAGCAGCAAAGGCAAATAATGGCAACCAACCTTTACCAACAAAAGATTCGACCACCCCACATGGTGGGCATGGAACTCCCCCCCTTCCAAACATCCAGAGGTCGACACCTACACGGTCTCCGCCATCGCACGAGTGCGCTATGCCCTGGACCGGGCCAGGGACGTGCGCCGCTTGTCAGTGGCGCAAAACACGGAAGTGCGCTGCAAGTCTTTTCTGCAGCTCTGGCTGGGCGAGGCCGGGCTTCTGTTTTTGCACCCACCCAAATTCAGAATACAGCCGTTCTCTAAAAGCAAACATTTGTCCGAATGCGGGAAACGATTGGACAAAGTTGTTTTTGCCCGTGTTCTTGAATTCCAATTGTACGTGCTACAATCTTGGTTTCGCGTGTTCCCTGGACCTTAAACGACGAGAACCACGAGTGGCCCGAAACCATAAGGGAAAGTGAGTGTTGGTTGTGTGTGTGTGTGCTGCTTGAATGCAACACTCAGAGATGCCGCACGTCTCAACTCTTGACGCTGCAAGTCATTGCAAGTCAACAAAGAAAGTCGACATGTGCGTGTGAGTGTGTGTCACGTGCGCGCGCGCGTGCGTGCGTGCGTGCTCGCGTTGACACAATCAAGCCCCAGGGGCAGAAACTCTAAGCAAGCGACGTGGCTCAGAAACCTCAAAGCCACAACACAAGAACCCCCACCAAGCCCAGCGCTAAGCTAAGCTTCGAGGTAGAACTGATGTAAACGGCTTCTCAACAGTCTCTGCACAGACTGCCCACACATTTGCATGCCAAAGCTTTGTTGTATACGCCTTTATGCGTGTCCTTCAGGGACTGATAAGCTTCGGTGTTGCGAGCTCTGCGCAAGAGTTGCTCCGTGCGTGCTCGGCCCAAGAAGAGTTCAGTGAAAGTTGCCCTGCGTGCGCAACTGCTCTGTGCAAGTTGCGCTGCGCCAGTCTTGCGTAGCCAGCTCGGAACAAGTTTCTATTGAGCAAGTTCTCTGACTCTGAGCAAGTTCTGTGCGTGCAGCGCTGACTGCAAACAGCGACCTTTCGACGTGATTCCAACTGTCGAGCCGGACCTGCAAAATTATACTTCGGGTAGCACGTTCGTAGTTGAAAGTTGTGATCTGCCATCCGAAGCCTTCTGAAAGTGTACTTCGTGCAATATCTTCGTAGTAAAAGTTGCGATCTTCCAGCCGGATGCGCGTAATAGTTGCGACTTTCCAGCCAAAGCTGCGACATTGTACTTCGTGTACAATGTTGCGATTTTTCAGCCGGAGCTGTGAATGTGCACTCTGCGAGTTGGTTTCACGCTGCTGACTTTGTAACTTAAGCCGCGGAGAACAAGCAGGATTCGAGCCCGGGGCTGCTCGCTTCCAAGAGCAGGTGCGCAAACCGCGAGACAAAATTTGAAGCCCGTGTTCCGAGAAGAGAAGTTAGCATTTTACTAGCATTTCGTGCGATCGACCAATCCCCGCAGAGGGTCGCACTTTCGAACCAGAAATCGTAAAACATCCTCAGTTTTTCCGCATCGACCATGCCAATCCCCGCGGAGGGTCGCGCGGGCACCTGAGAAGTCGTAAAGACTCTTCAGTTTTTTTGAACATCGACCGCGCCAATCGCAAAAAGCACGTGCTCCCTGTGCTTCCGAAATGCGCTACAGACACTGTGGCCACTCGCAACCTTGACCTCTTCGGGCAAGGCGGCCGCACAACTAGCCCTATGACCTGTGACTCACGCAAGATGCCTCCACGGACTCCGCGCATTGCCGGGTAAAAGCCTGCAAGCAGGCAAGTGAGAACAAGCAGGCGACCAAGCCAGTCAGCAAGCGCGCACACATCATGCTATCCACTTTGCCCGAGCCGTTTGGCCAGCCTGCCACCTAGCCTTGCAGCCACGAAGCACTTGCACGTGCACTTGCGCAAAAAAAACCATCCACCACCCCACCTGCCCGCCCACCGCGCCAGCTCTGAAAGCTCAGCCGAGGCAAATGCCCATGCGGCAAACGTTGAAGCGCACCAACGTCCAACACGCTTCATTGTCAATCCAAAATCACCGAACCAACATTAAACAAGTGAAGAGAGGTGAACTGCCACACAACAGCGGCAAAACACTGGGCTGTTTACGCCCAGGCCTTGTTCCTTCCCTGAATCAAGAATCTTGTGTCCCAGAGCCCTTGCCGCCCGTACTTTGGACACGGTTTCTTTATAACCACGCGCATCTGGCAAGGCCATCGAGAAAGCGCGCCTGGAGCAGGATTCCAACAGACCCTGAGCTGCATGTCCAGCGCGTGTTCCTAGCTGTCATCAGTTTGAAGTGCTGCTTTTTAGCCCAGCTACTGGGGCGCTACATGTAGCGTTTTTACAAATGCTGCGATCCAGCCTCAAGCCAACCAAGGCTAAAGCTCACAAGCTTTTGTTGCACATTTTTCGGCATTCTAGACATTGTTCTTGGGGGAGGTGGGTGGGAGGGTGGGGGCAAGAACAACGCACGGGACCCTTGTTGTTGTTGTTGTTGTTGCTGCTGCTGCTGCTGCTGTTGTTGCTGCTGCTGCTGCTGCTGCTGCTGCTGTTGTTGTTGTTGTTGTTGTTGTTGTTGTTGTTGTAACTGTTGTAACTGTTGTAACTGTTGTAACTGTTGTAACTGTTGTAACTGTTGTAACTGTAACATTGCAATTGCAGTTGTAATTGTAACTGTTGTGGTTGTGGTTGTGATTTTGGTTATGGTTGTGGTGGTTGCCGTGGTTGTCGTGGTTGTTGTCGTTGTTGCGGTTGTTGTTGTGGTGTTGGTTCTTGTTTTCCTTCTGGTGCTGGTTGTTGTGGTTCTAGTTGCTGGTTGTTGCAGCTGTTCTTGTTGTTGCCATTGTCGTCGTCGTGGTTTTGAATGCTGTTGCTGTTGCAGCTGACCTGGCCAATGCAAGCCCTGCCGCCCACAGCATTGTATGTGCAGCTTCTTTGCTGGAAACTTAAGCATCACGCAGTCATTGTGTCGGGTTGTCAAGACGTTGCTTGTGCTTTGGCAAGGCGTGTGAATCTGCCCAGCACCCAGTTGTGATGGTGCCTAGGTCAGTTTTATGAACATGACCCCAACGTGTTCAAGGCCGTGGAGATGTACTTGAGATATGCTGGCCTGCAACAATCTCGGGAGTCCAAGATTTTCAGAGAAGCTTAGCTGCCTGAGACAATAGGTGCAAAAATGCAAGACGTGCGCAAAGAGGGGCAGTCGCAGTTCTTTTGCGGCCGCGTCGGGGAGGTTGTTGCCCACACAACGAAAGGTTCCTTTCTGAGGCGGTATTTGTAAGTTGCTTTGTGTTGCCTTCCAACGTTAAAGCTGTTTTTCTTCGCAGGTTTTCGTTAACACGCGTTGGGTTGTTTCACTTCGCAAAGCTAGCAGCGTGCATCTGTTTGGTCACTCTTCCTTGTTCGCCTCCGCTCTGCCCATTGTTGCTTCGTGTCATTGGCGCGCCAATTGGCTCATGTAGCTTCAGGTGTCGCGTCAGGGAGACAAAGGCAGGCAGACGGCGCACCATCATCATGTCAATGCATGCAAGCAGCGCTGCAATTACTGGGCTTAAAACCCCGGACAACCCCCCTGGACAAACTCCCGGACAACCCTCCGAAACAGCTTTGAGGGCACAAAATCGGCGGGACAACCCTCCGGACAGCTTTGAGGGCCCAAAAACCCGGGACAAACCCAAGACAAGTCTTGGAACACGCCAAAACCACTCGGAAACCATGCTCGGAAACCACTCAAAAACCGCTCAAAACCGCTCAAAACCACTTGAGAATCACTCGAGGGAAGTATTCTCGCGGGAGGGGGGGTTTGCAGCATAAATCTTGGCAATTTGCCCGGACAACCCTCCGGACAACCGTCCGGACAACCCCCCGGACAACTTGCCGGACAGTTGTTTGTCCAGCAAGTTTTCCCGCTTTTTGTCCGGCACTTTATCCCGCACTTTATCCCGCACTTTGTCCCGCTCTGTGTCCCGCATATCGAGGGGGGTGTTGATTCAGAAGGGCATTCGTCAATGGATAAACATATATACATGGATATGCAGAGGCCGAATGCAAAGCATTTGCCTAAGGGGTATATCAGCCGGCCAAGGACATGTTGGAGGATGCAGTGGCTTCGCTCCTGCAGGCTCAGGCAGAAGTCGGAAGCCCTCACCTTGAACATAGAAGCTTATTGTGATGCATACATGTATATCTACAATACGTCTATATATATAGAAACACACTCATATATATATGTATATACATATATATATATATATTCAATAAACTTTGGTTTCTTGCTCCACCAGAGTCTGTTGTATCATTTCTGATGTGCGGCGTAGGACGATCCAACCAGGTTTGTTCGTATTATTTTGTATCTCTTAGGGTACTCAGAGTGAGGAATGGTTTCGTAAACCTCCGAAAGTGTGTTGCAGGATTTCAAGGACTTGCAAGAGACCTGGCTTGCGCAACGGCACAAGCTGGCCTTCCTTTTGGCACATCGCCCCAGCTGCCTTTTCGACAAAGCAGCGACTTGGCCTCATTCCGAATTTGCTGGGGGCGGGCAACTGGCTCACTGACACGAATTTTGGCCCTTGACATATCTCCTCGACAGCTGAGCCAGGTCAACGGCGTTCCCTTGCTGTCCTTCACAGAGGAGGCCGGCGTTTTCACAAGTGACATTGCCCTCAACCTGAAAGAGCTGCAAGAGAGCACGTCGATTGACGAAGTTATGGAGTCCCTGCGATCAGCTCTGCACAACATCTTGACAGACAACGCAAACTATGACTCCCTGCACATGGACGAGGAGGTTTTCTGCCGCGACCGGAATCTTTGGCTGGCGACACGTGACATCCTGACCAGTGATGTAGTGCACAGCTGTGGCATCGACAATGTGGATGAAATCAGGATGCCAGGGATTTGGGCATGTTTCCACAGTGATTCTGCGCTATTTTGCTATCATGCACTGGTAACAGGGATCCATTTGGTAGTTCTGGGCTGCGAGTCAGAACGTTCTGGGCACAGCAGGCCTAACGCACCTGCCACAGAGGAGGGTCAGTGGTGTGCCTTGTCACTCCAAACGCTTCATTGAGTGCAGGTTGATGGCCGAAGAAGCGTGCGTGATATCCCCCTACCATAATTAACAAATGAGGTGGGAATCGCCATTGAGTACAACCGTTTTGGGTTTGAATCTAGCATGCCCGAGCTACACTGCGAAATTGGGGCGTGTTGCCTGGAGCCGTTCCACAGAGTGACCAAGGGCTGTCCAACGCATTGAGCCCAAAACTCCCGCCCCTTAGAATTCCAACCCCGGATTGAACGCTTATTTTGCTGTTCGCCAACAGCCGAAACTTGCAACCTGTTTTCCAAGTTGCAAACGTGCTTGACGCAGTCAGGAGCCTCATCAACGAGCAAGCCAAGACAGAGCGATTGCCATCGCACAGCTCTTTGCAAGGCTTGCTGTTGCTGCGCTGCGCTTGGAATTTGTGTGATCTCTTCGGGTACACCGCCAAGACTTACAAGTGGCGCACAAAGATATCATATGCATTGATCATGGCTGCCTGGCTACAACAAAAGCGCATTGAAGCCTGCATTTTTCATTTTGGCCTTTCTGGTCCTTTACTCCCCTGGTTCATTTGTCCGGTCCTGTACGTTGGTCCGCGATGTCGTGGTGCCCTGATTTTCCTGTCACGGTGACCCTAACTCAAGCCAAAACCAGCCATTCACACAGCTTTACCCGCCTTATATCAGCCCAGGACGCTTAGCCACATGACCAAGCTGCCCACAACAAAACCAAGCCAAAATCAGCCCTAGATCCAACCGCAGCCATCCCTAGAGCGTGGACCGACCGCGTGAACCAACCCGGGACCCCACGGCCTGGGAGCAAGCCTAGGTCTTGGCAGCTGTGGTCGTTGGCATCACTTGCTTCGAAGCGGTTGGCAGCCTGGAGGCGTCTGATAGGCTGCATTGCATGTCAGGTTGCCACTTTGAAAGCTACCTGGATATAGGATTGTTTTTGGTTTAGCGTGGTGTTCCTGTGAATGGTTGGACGGTTAACAGGTTTGCTGGATCACCCGAGCGTCGCTTTATGCGTGTTGGGAGCGCTTTATGGTGGTTCGCGAAGGGAACCGTTTTTTGCAGGACTCGCAAATGTAGCAGTGGCCCCTACCGTATTCGATTTCTGCTGAGAACAACGCAACCTTGTGCTAGCGTGGTCAACGTGAGTCAGGGAAGCAAAAGCAAGGTCCAGGGCAACATTGATCGTCCACTTTAGCTTTGGACTGTGCTTTAGAAGGGTGGAGACGGATAGAAGATCAACAACTCCCAGTTCACCCCTGGCCGGGCCTGGTTTGTGAAGCAGGTGTGCAAGAGCGGATGCAGCTGCAATAGCAATAAGGGGACAATCAGGGCAGGAGCGTGAGTCAATGAGCAGCAAGGTTTAGCAGCGATGGTGAGCAACACAAGCAAATTCCCAAATGAGACTTCCTTTGTGGTAGGGAGTCTCTTATGGGACTTTGGTTCTCGTCCGCAGGCAGAGACGGGCAAAGTCCTGGTGCTGACACTTGCATTGACCACTGGCGCCTTGAAGTCGTGGACCTCAGTGACGAATCCCATGAACAAGTGGCTCAAGCTCAGATCTGGCTCTGTGACTTGGCGCAGCGAAAAACACACTTTGTCAGGCCACCAGGCTTAGGCACTTAATGTGGAGCAACAGGGAAGGGTGCAACCCCTGGCATGGATGCTACTGGCAACCGGATGAGGGATGCTAGTCGAAGCGTCAGGTGATGCTGCAGGCAGAGATTTGGAAATTCCGGACGCGCGTGGGGAGCTATGCCAGCAGCAAACAGACGAGCTATCATATGAATGGTGAGAGAGCAGCTGAAAGGAACTTGCACGATATGATTCGTGCTGTAAGGGGAACCGTATTAGAGAGTTCCGCGCTTAGCCAGACCAGCTTCTTGGTTAGCAGTAGCTTATGCGTGGGCCACCTCAGGGTCCGAACTGAAACCCCATCCTGATAAGGACGTGTTTGCTCTTCCCTGACCAGCTCAGGCTTTTATGCGCATGCCACAGTTTCCATTGATGCTGAGCGCCTGATGGACAAAGACATGACGCATTATCAGGTCATTGCCAAGCACGGGCAATACCGCGGCAGACAGAGCCATCCGGAAGTGCCTGGTGGTGGTGATAACCACCATTCACCTGCCAGCCCAGAGGACTACATAAGCTGGCGGGTTGAGCTCGGCTCAGTTGCGCTAAAAAAGAATGGCAGCAAGGCAGTGTCGGTGCAATGCACAGTTCACACAGCTCAGGAGCCTATGTTGCATTTTTATCAGTCCCGGGTGCCTTTCTACTCCCGTTTACTGCTGACGCTGCAGCTTATCTCCATTGGCTTCTTGGATTGCAGCCAGGGCTGAACTTTGGCTGTGGCATTGTCAGAGAAGTGGCAGTGGCTTGGCGACCCCTCAGGATCCTCAATACTCACCGGCGTGCTGGCGTTGGTGAACTTGACTTCCTGGACGCCTTTGGTGGTTGCAGTGGCGGGAGGCTTTGCGGCGTGGCAGGAGTTTGGAGCCACAGGCAAAAAACTGCGACTTGGTTCATAGAGGGCGGGAATTTGGGAACGATCTCCGCCATCTTCCGTCAGAATAGCTCAAAAAATGCGTTGAGGGCCTCGATTGCCAAAGGGGCTTCCACAATAGAACATCACCTTGTCCAACAAGCAACTTAATTGCACTGGGGAGTATAGCAGCATGTAGCATAGAGTTGTATTGGGAGGCCATTCAAGCTCAAACAAAAAACAGGCCTCATGAATTTGTCATACGTTGTTTGGTGGCTGACGCACGGCAAGAAACTAGCTGTGGTTTTATTTTTTCAGCCAGAGCATTTCACTACGCAGCCCTGTAAGCATTGCACAGCTAGCCCAGCAGTGTCCACTGATTTGCAAATTTCACAAGATGCGTTTGCGTTCTTGAGCAGGCAGCGCTATGCCACGGCCATTGACACTTTGAGCAGCTTGATTCTGTGGTGGCAGTCCTTGCCACCTGTTGACAAGGCAGATACCCGAACTTTGGCTGACAAGAAGACACGCAGGGAATGAGCTTGTAATTTGACCACGATACACGGTTGTTGGGCTTTGTTGGAGGCATGATGCTGCGTGCAGTTGGTAAATCAAGACATCATTTTTTCTCTGACAGCTGTCATATCAATAGATGAACACTCAGGAAACATTGAGCACCTGGTTAATGCTGCGGAGGCCACCGTGGCGTCCGAACATACTGCGTGGCTCAGCGATGCGTTGAAGGCGCAACGCCTCATGGAGCAGACAATGCGAAACCGCCACGAAGATGATGACTCGACCCCCTTAAACGCTTCCTACCGCAAGCATACTTGATTTTGAAATGCAGGCATGGAATATGCTTTGCCAGCTTATTTGTGCTGACTTCAGCACCATTTTCAATCTTGGAACTTGTCTTGCCAATCTGACAGCGGGCATTGTCCTTGCCTTCTACCCGCAAGGACGGCAGGGGCTGAAACAACAGCCCTGTTGATGGGCTGTCGCCTGAAGGCGCAGCTCAGTCGTAGAAATGGCTCTCAAAGCGGGGCTTCGGAGACAGGCCGCTCATGGGGCGAGAAGCTGCAGCTGACTTCTTGGACATCGACTTTCAGAATAATCTGGAAAACTATGTTGGGCCCAATCCCCCTTAGTGCAAAATGTGACATGGAGCCCCTTCAGTGGAAAATTGGCTGGGGAGGATGGGGGGCGGGACCTGGGCTTGCCAAACCAAAATTTGGTATTGCCAAGACTTCTCACATCAACTACCTCTTATTGTTTTTTGTTAAAATGATTTTGTATAAGCCACGATGGTTTGGGGCCCACTGCCAAAATAGGGCTTCGAGAATCAGATGAACCCCGCTTTAAAGCAAAAGGACAAGGCTTTGATCTGGGAATTCACGCCTCCCAAAAAACTTGCTGTGGACAACACCCTTTGTGTGACTGGTTGGCCTTGCTTTTTGCAATGGATGTATATATATATATATATATTCAAAAAAAAGACAAAACATGGTTCGGGGACAACTTGACAGGAATCCCTAGGTCTAAGACCACTGGGAAGGCCTCTGATACGCCACCCTTCAAAAGAAGAAGGCTAGGGCTTTGATCTGGCATTTTTTTCGTTGTTTTTGTTATTTGGATGTTCTTTGGGGAAAACTTTTGCCATAGTAGCAAACCAAGCCCCAGGATTCTGACTAAGTTGCGCAGGTTAAACACAGATTGATTGCAATGTGCTTGTATCTAGTACCGAAGTCATTGCGAGAGCAGTCTCACACTGCTTGCTTACAATTAGCCCGTCGAACTGTCGAACTTTTCAACATACAGAGCAGAATTCGAAAGTCAGCAGTCATCATGTTTACCACTTAAACGACTGACGCGCCTTAGCACGCAGCATATTCTAATACATAATTTGCAGCAGCGCAAGTCTATATGATGTGTTTGCGTTTGGCTTGAAAAGGCTTTGACATATATATATATATATATATACATACGAAATAATAACATCGAGCTACGCGGGAAAATTGGCCGTACAGTCCCATGTGGGTTGTCAATATGGCTGTGTGCCCTAGAATGCTTGCACCAGAGACGATGTTCGCAAATTAGGAGCAAGCACACATATTGGTTGGTTTGTTCCGTATCCATGCTGCTGTTGCCTCCCTTCGTATGTTTGAGTTTAACGCAACCTACTTGTGGATGTTCAAAGCAAGGAGCAATGAGCAGACAGGAAAAGAACCCTAGGAGAGCTGGCTGAGGAATTTGACACAGAGCACTAAGTTGCCTTTTGGCTGCGAGGCCGCACCGGCAACTCGTGAGAGTCCATCCGTGCTATTGCAACAGCTCTGTAGCTTCTGGGAGCCTACAGCTTGTGAACTTAGACGGGTAGCACGGAGCCACCCCTACTTTCAGCGATTGTTGTGTTGTATAGAGTATGGAGGGAATAACATATAGTCCAAGGGGGTCCCTCCCAACAGACAGTCAGATCTCCACAACCCTTAAATCAGCTTTGTGAAGCTAGTTGAGTCGTTGCAGGGAGCCGTTGAAGTCAGCGGCGTCACAAAACTCAGTAGCGCTGTAAGAGCCATCGACGTTTTGAAGTTATGTTGTGTTCATCATCCTTCTGATTTGTTTGCTTCTATATGTGTATATATATATATATATCCTAATATATCCCTATATATATATATATTATAGTTGCTAGAGTCATCGGGGCTACCAAGTTCCCGACATAGCTTCATTGACGTCCATGCACACAGATATTAACATTGAATCACGGAAGTCGTCAAAGGAAGCACTGTTGTAAACATGATAACCCCATTAATGTTGGTGTATTATGAAGGCATGAATCCCGTTCACATTGTTAGAGTTGTTGCCTCCGTTGAAGCAGCTACAGAGCCGCCGTCATCATGAACATCGTTAAGAATAGTCAACGCCATCAAAGAAAGGTCAAGTCAATGCATAAAGACATCAGAGGCAGCCGGTTGAATGAATTAAGCCAGTGCAACAAGGCTTTTCTAGTCATTTAGCAAAGCAATTCAAAGTCATTGGCCATGAACTTTCATTGAACAGACATGCACAGCCAAGCCACACACACACACACGCGGACCAGGTCATCGAATTCATTGCAATCGTACGAAAGTCATTGAAGTCATCAAACTCTGACTTGGGTTTCTGGTCATAGCACAGACTGGGCCGTTTCGAGGTACCCGCTTCCAACAGCGCAAGCATTTCAGGTGAAAGCGCAAGTTCGGGAGAGGTTTGAAGCACACTGCGCAGGCCCTGAGCTTTGACGTGAGCCATGGAGTTGCCTGTGCGAAAGCTGGCCTGAGTTCATGCGTGCGCTGCCGTCCAGCCCCGTGCCTGCGGCAAAATGGCAGATGCGCCACAAGATCAGCCACTTGCCCGGCTAGCAGGTTTGCTTTTTGCACAAATGTTACGCAATGCTCACCGGGGAGACCTAACTAAATGCATACGTTTAGACTTTAGGCCGCCGGAGATCTTTTGGACTCTTTTGCTGAGGCATATTTGGGTTCTTCAGATGGAAAAGGATAAACCGCATGCGTCGGCTAGACAGCGGGTCCGAGAGTTCTGAGACCTTCAACGTGACACAGGCAATCTCCTCGAAACAGCTAGATTTAGAGCATAGCAAGGGCTAGAGCAGAGTACAAAGATGGAGCTGTAGAATATAGATCAAAAGCCAACTGCCCATTAATTGCTGATATTTCAAAAAAATGGCCTGAAACAGGAGTGGTTGTGCTGGGAGGGGTGCTGCATGATGCTACGCGCTAGCAATTCCAAAGCCTGTCATGTGAGAGAGCGCCCTGGCCATTCGAACAGTGTCTTCATGACAATGAGCAAAGGGTCTGCTTCGTGCTTAAAGATTTTGCGTGTGTATGGCGTGACGCTAAATCTGGCACTGTCCCTCAGCGCCCCTGCTGCTAAGAGAAACCCGCAAATATCCATGGTTTCACTCCCCTGGCAAACAAAGACAGATGAATCTGGAGCATGTACACGTGCTTGCATAATTTGCAGCAGATTCTGCCTGCATAGGGCAAAAAAAAACACACACACAGTGACACACACACACACACATGCGATGTGCTTCTTTGTGGGAGCAACCAAGCAAGGCGCTGCTCTGCGTGACTGGTTTGGGCGGGGCATTTGGATTTGTTTGTTGCTCCCAGCCTTTCCGTTGGCTGCAAAAACTCGCGTCGGCCAGTCCGCGCGTCGGCCAAGGGCGCTTCCATTGGCCAGCTTGAGCGCCAGTCGTCGAATCTCCAGGGCTGGCGAGACACAGGAGGATGCCCTGACCGACCCGAGAAAGAAGCGCCTAGGTCAGTTCGAATTTTCAGGGCCCAACCAATGTATTCGTTCCGTCAACATTGCCTTCACACGCAAGGGGCGGGAAATGTTGTTTTAGCTTTTAGCCGCGACACAGGGCATCCTAAACCCGGGATCATCGCAAAGATTAATGCAAGCCTTTTTTGGGCAACTGGCCAAAGAAAAGAACTAACGCTGCCGAATGTCTACCTATGATTAATAACCCCCCCCCTCAAACAACCTCCCTCCCCAAATAGTTCTTGCAACTTGATTACGAATTGCTAAGTATTGCTCACAGATTTGTTGTGTTTCAATTGATTTAGTATTGCTGGAGCATCCTTTTGAGATTGGATTCGGGGTTCCAATTGGTTTAGTATTGGTGGATTTGAGTTTTTAATTGATTTCGTATTGCTGGAGCCTCCTTTTGAGATTTGACTTGAGGGACTTGAGTTTCCTATTGGTTTAGTTTTGCTGAGGGATTTGAATTTCAACTGGTTTAGTATTGCTGGAGCCTCCTTTTGAGATTTGACTTGTTGAGATTCCAATTGATTTAGTATTGCTGGTGACACTTCTTTTTTGGGGGGAGGGCAACCAGAAATCTTTATTTAGGGAGGCCCCCTAAATAATGTTTTTGTTCAACCCCCAAGTACTACCCCCCTTGTAGGGTTGATTCGGGGCCACTTTTTGAATAAGCGTATGTAAAGAATTTGCAGTTTGGGAGCGGGGATTTTGTTGGGATTGCAAAAGCTAGATGATTGAAATCATAGGGAGCAAGTTTCAAGGGACATATTTTAAAGATTGAGCCTTTTACTAAGCAAGCCTTTTCAATCGCGAGTAGTTTTTTTTTGTTGGGGGGGGGGGGCAACCAGAAATCTTTATTTAGGGGGCGCCCTAAATAATGTTTTTTTCAACCCCCAAGTACTACCCCCCTTGTAGGGTTGATTCGGGGCCACTTTTCAAACAAGAGTATGTAAAGAATTTGCAGTTTGGGAGCTAGTATTTTTTGTAGATCTAAAAAAATACGGCAGGCGAGGCAGATACTGACCAATCAGACAAGCTAGTGGAAGAGGTTGAGATGATGCTCGCGGGTGTGTGTGTGTGTGTATGTTGTTTGGTGTGTTTTTGTGAGTGTGTGTGGATTCGAAGCCAAACAAACACACAACTCAACATAACTTTATTTCGGGGGGGGTTATTAGTCAGTGCTGACCCACAACATAACTTTAATCAGGGGACGGTGTTTAATCATAGGTCGACATTAAAGTTTGCCTTGTTTAAAGCTGCTGCTTGAAGTTGCAACCTGCTGGGGGCCTCGGCTTGGCCCAGGACAGATTCAGAGAAGCTGGCAGAGGACTTGGAAAAGCTGAAGGTGAAGATCATCCCCAGTATGGTGAGCACAGTGGAGTACAACATCGGCGACAGCATGCAATCTTCTCACTTGAGCCTGAGTTCGAACAAAGAGCGGCGGTTGTTGACTCAGCGAATGACTGCAAGATCAGCTCGTGTCCAGTGTGGCGCAGCAGGCCGCGATCGCACAGCAGCTAAGGATCTATTTCACAAACCAGCAGGCCTTTGGCGTGTCGCAGCAGCAAATGCCAAGCGTACGAAAAGCACTACGCATTCGAGAGCCCAAGCTTGTGATCCGCTTGCTGCCATCGACTGGGCAGATCTATTGGGAGCCTTTCTTATCACTGGCCATGCTTGCACTTGCATCGTGTCCATTTGAACTCATGACATATCCTTAGCCATGAGACCAATGTTAGGCCACCTGAGCTTGTGGCCGAGGAAGCCCGAAAGAACGTGCACTTGGCTTCTGGGGGCTCAGCGGCACCTCCTAAACGACCGCCAGAAATCCCCGGCCAAGCCCTGGACGTGGAGCATCGCCTGCTGCTGCTGGCCAAAGAAGTCCTGTTGCCTTTGGCCTTCAGAGCCTCTGCGCCTTGCGCTATAAAACGGGGGCGTGTGTGCGAATGCCAACTTGATTTGCTGGAAAGCCTCAAAAATCAAAGGGCTGAGACTGGTGGACAAGCTTGGTGGAGTTTCAGGCAAAGCAGCAGATCTGTTGTCATGGACTTTTCGACCGCGTTCTACCAAGGTGCTAAGTTGTGACAAACAAATGGAGTGGACTCAGTGCAAGGCGCAAATACGCGACACATAACTGAACCAACCCACGCAAGCAGGCAAGCAAGCAAGCTAGCTAGCTGGGCACCCACGCACATACAAGCTGATGCGTGCACCCTCGCGCGAGCGTACGTACATGCACAGACGTACGAGTACGGACACGCACACACACACACACACACACACACAGGCATGCCTTCGACATCCGCGCTGAGCCATCCTTTGGATGCGGGGTCCAAGGCATTGATCATCGGAAGCAGCCTGTGTAGCATCACCAACGCCTTTGCCAGAGCCAGTGCGCCGATTCAGCGGCGATTGGGCGAAGACTGCCCCTTCCGCGTGGCGACTTGGGCCCAATGAAGCTCTTGTTTGATATTTGTTGTTGAGTTTCTGGGAGCCGTGGAGGGTCAAACTTTCCCAGTCAGTCAGTGCCTGTAGTTGATTCCTTGCTTTTGGCATGAAACTGAATTTCCACTAAGTGGAATCCCTAAGTGGCCCGTTTCTTCGTTGGCCCACGCACATCAAGGTCATTTGGGACCATGCACCGTGGCTGTGGAAAAGTGCTTCTTCAGAAGGGAATGGACTGTCAAAGCAGGCATGGAAAACGTCGGATGCGTGGCAGAGAGCAGACTTTCGGAAGTGCCCCTTGGCTCAGTGCCCTCAAACATTTGGTCGTTTTGGGCATCCCAATTCAACAGAGGCCGCAGGCGTGGTGTTCATGTTGTCAAAGAACGCGTCCAACTTCAACCGAGGCATGCAGAGTATGCATGGCTCGGATCCGAGCTTGTGGCCGCAGAAGAATCTTGTGGAGGGAGCCGCCGCCTACCTCATCTTCGAGTCGATGGAGCCAGATGGGCTGCCAGACCCCCGCCCCGGCGAGCAATTCATGAACAGGCAGGCGCAAGAACAAAACTGCCTGAGTTGTTTGTTGGCAGGCCTTTGGCACGTTCGCGTCTTGAAGCTTCCGTTGTTGGTGCTTTGTTTGCCTTTGCTCTGCCGTAGATGGACGAAATACTCAAACCCACGACGTATTTGTTTTGTCCTTTTGTCGTATAGTGTGTTGTCATGGAGTGCCGTTGGCCTTGGTTGCCCAGAGGTCACCGCCACGACGGCTTGCCAAAGCACTAGGCCAAATTCGGGGACCCTGGGTTCTAAATTGGCTTGCCTTCTCTGCAGATGCAAAACTCGAAAGTGTTCACAAGCCTCTGGCAGGTTTGTTGCTTCATTGCAGAGCCACTTGCCGGTGGTTGCCCTTTGGACTCACGGAAAAGGAAGTCTAAACACCCTCAGCCAAGCTGCCGACCACGTTAGCTACGGACTGCCGCTGGTGCTGCTTGAAGCTTGGAGTGACAGATTGGCAGCGCTTCTCTTTGCTGACTGGGTGCATAGGGCGTGGGTGACATATTGAGGGGGTCACAGCTTGCTTGGAAGCCCTGTAACTGGCGCAAAGGCTGCTGGTATTTTCGTGTGTGAGCAAGTTGTGAGGGGAGGGCCAATCTAGAGTCTTCACTTAGACGCTCTGAAGATCAAAGAAGGCAGAGTGAAGCATGAGCAGGGCGTGCGCTTGTATGTCTGCGGCGAGGGGCCTGAACCAATGATTTTTAAGAGCCCGCTTGTAGCTGCTTTGAACATTTGAGACCACTCCCACATTGGACCAAGTGATAAGGGGTAGAGAGGACAGCCGCAGCAACTGGAAGTTTCCGGATGACATCGTGGATGAAGAGGAGGAAGTCCCCCCTTCGGCGGATGATGGCATAGAGGCGGCAGACGCTCCAGTGGCAGCCAGAGCGCAGAAGAACTGCTTGGACTGCGAGCTGACAAAGGTACAGCGAAGGCGGGCAGTTGCATAGCACAGCATTCAGGGAATGACATCAGGCCCGGAAGGGTAAGCCACAATCTGCAGGAGTCCCTCATTCTTTGTAGTTGGTGCGGCTGAAAGCGCACCAAAAGCAAGCATTCAGAGCAACCATAGAGAAGCCAATGCTGTACCTTCCCAGCACTTGGCATGTGAAATTATCCCACTGACTGGTTTGATCCTCCCTCCGTCGTAGCTGGATCATGCTTGATGCTTTGGGGCTAACATCTCTTGTCTGACCTATGTTAAGCCTGTTAGGCTGACCCAGCGAAACCTGCCAGGCTTGAGCATATCTGCGAAGCTTTGGCGGAGGAGAGCCTAGCTTCTCGCCTGAAGCTTGAACGTTTACGCAAAGAATTGATGATCTATGCGGGTGTCTTCTTTTTTGGGGAACCCCCCCAATTACAAAAAAGAAAAGAAAAGTGGCTTTCCTCTTGGTTCCCCTTTCAAACCACCAAAAGGGAGTACCCTCAAAAAAGACACCCATTCGCCTCACTCATGCTGTGAATACATACATTTGCACCTTGGTCGTCATATTTGTTGTGGGGTGCCATTTTTGGATATGTTTGGTTGTGCCAGGGAAAGCGCCATTGCATTTGCCACCATTCTTAACCTCTGTACCTGGTCTGCAAGAAGCTGTTTTTGTTCGGACTAGCTTTAGTACGGGGCAGCTTGCATGAAGCTGCCCCAATAATCAACCTTTAGGCTATCTGGGGCTTCTCGTAGCCAGACAGTTTAGTTGCATCACATACCTCAGTGTTGTGGCTGTCAGGCCAGTCCGTGTCTCAAGCTGGAGCTATGTGCCATTTCGTTTGCAGCGCCTGGCTGTGCCCCTTTCTTATTCTTTGTCTCCCCAACGTATTCAATTTGAGCAGGGGGCTTCGCTGTCCGAGTGCCCAGGTGGACACATACAGCGCCTCCGCCCTTGCCTGCATTCGCTGCGCCCTGGATCGGGGCCAGGCCGAGAAACAAATGGCCGAGAGCTACCTGGAGATCCGCAACAAACCTTACGACCAACTCTGGCTGGGAGAGGCGGACCGTCACTCAAGAGGCCCTGTTAAACGCTTGGCAGCTAGGAACATGGCAAGCATTCAGTTTGCAGCCAACCTCGCCTTTTGTAGCACCGGCGGCCTCCCTGAAGTGCAATATATATATATATATATATATATTAGAATGATGACCTGAGCTGAAGCAGCAAACGCCAGTTCGGCCCGACAGGTGCAAAGGCTGTGATCGCATGCGGCTCGCTTCAGGTTTGAGAGCTCCCAGGTTTGACAGGGCCTGCCATCAAATTGCTAGCATGGACAGCATACAGCCTCTGTGCATTCCACCAGGCTATAGACAAGGCGCGACTCCAGACAAACACCTGCAGTCTCTTGGTACGGATGTTTAGGCATCGTGGGTTGCTTTTGAATTTGGCTAAAGCTGGGCATGTAGCTCCTTTCCCGTTGACCTTTGATAAGTGACTTGCATACTAGAAAAGAACACTGCCTTTTGCCACTTTAATGTATGGCCGGTTCAGCAGTGAGGGCAGAAGTTAGTTTGTTCACAGCAAACAAATGGTTGTGCACGTTGTTTGGGGAGCCTGCAAACCAGCACAGGAAAACGTTTGCTGCAGGGCGGCAAGTTTAGAGAATAGTTGTGAGAGCCAAACAACATGCACTACCAGGAGCCCCAATATGCGATGAACATGTCATGCCCAGAAAAAAAGAAAAAGAAAAAAACACACACACACACACACACACGTTGTTTTGTGGGAAACACAATGTTTTCGGAAAACACAATGTGTTTGATTTCAAGCATTTCCCATAGATTCCTTCAACTCATCATCCGTTCAAAAAGACATCATCTCAACCTCATAATCTCCCATTGCCCCCTCTCTCCTTTTTCGCTCACAACGCAATCAGCTTCGCATTCACAACTCGTCATTCGCAACTCCAATCTGAAAGAAGGAGGCCGGGGACCTAAACAGTCAAGTGCCACTTGATCCTTCCAAAACGGCTGCCAGGTTTATGACACTTGTCAAGCAGCAACGCCATGATGAGAGCGACCTCTTGTTTTGCCCACGACTTCATTGATTTCCATCAAGACCCATAGACCTTCTATGGGTTGGTGGTTAGGGCTACTGATCTTCTACGGGTTTCTAAGGGCCTCTACGGGTTAGCCGCCAGGATCTCACCCCATATTCCAAAAAAACACGAGCATCATAAACACAAACTCGAACAAGTGTCACCCAGGTCTTGTTTGTGCGCCCAAAAGAAGGCTTCGGGATTCCAGCGCCCCCTTCAAACTGGTTTCTGTATGACCTGGGGAAATGAAAGACTGAAGCCAGCTGCGCACCCTGGCTGGCTCATCAATGTGAGCCTTCAAATTTGAAGCATATTCAGTATGGAGCCCTGCCCCCCATTTGAAAGCTTACTGGGTGATGCCTGTGTGAATTCCACTCCCGACCTGCCTTTGCTCCTTTGTTCCAAATGAGTGTTTCGCCTCAGAAGCCCATGCTTAAGGGATTCATCAAAAGCACAATGTTTTGTTTAACACAATGTTTGCAGAAAATCAAAAACAACACAATGTGTTCACATTTGTTGAAGCCCTTTCTCCGGCCGAAACAAAATGTCCGCTCTGCACTGCTTGTTTAATCTTGAGCTGGTAGTTCAGAAACTACCCACAAAGGTTGCATCGGGTATGAGTTCCAAAGCCAGCAGTAACTTGGAATGAATCCAACTTCGGAGTCCATATAGTGCTGCTGGAGTACGGCGGCTGTGGCGACGGTCAGGTTTGCTAAGACAACGTTCCAAACTTGGATGTGGGTACAGTATTAAGTCAAAACAGGCGAACCTCCAAAACATGTTTTTCGGCTCGATTCCCTTGAGCCCACCCCCAAAATTGTTACTTAGAACAAAATCACAGCTCCTGCCGCTCCCTCGCAATGTTGAGCGCAACTGCTCTTGAGGTTCTGACCGTGACGTCAGCACCATGAAGGCCGTGGAGATGTTCTTGCGATATGCTGGCAAACAGCAGCGCCTAGAGGCACGCATCTTCAGGGCCGCTCAGCATGCACTCCGGGAATGTTCAATGCTGTCAAGCCAGTTCCCAATCTTCACTTCCAGCCATTACTGCTGACGAGCAGTGGGTGGCATCCATGCATGGGGCCTTGCTTTGCCCGTGTTGCGGTGAGCCTTCCGCAACGTGTTTCTTTGAGCTTGCTTGTTCCCACTGAATGTTGACAGCTGCTGCCCCACAACACCCCGGATTGAAGACCCCTTTCTTCCCAGCTAGCTGACTGTTAGCCGATACTTTCAAGGCACTCACAAGGTTTGAGATGTAGCCAGACCCCCCTAATATCTATTTTGGCACCCAGACCCCGCCACAACCCGATTAAAGACGGCAGCCCATTCTCAGTTGTTTAGAATAGGCTTGGTGTTGGTCGAGTATTAAAATTTGTGTGGGATCAAAATACGGATGCGGTTGCTGTCGACAAGGGTGTTTTGTGTGCCTTTTTGGGGATCTTCACATACTTACTCGGGGATAACATTAAATTATATAAGTCGATCTTCAAAGCATGTACCCAATATTGCACATAGCGAAACCCGCTGCAAACCAACACTGAACGAAAATGGGTCTCATGAAATTGGAATGGCAAATGGCAACTAATTAACGATGGGTGATTGGCATTGGCATGCGGCAACAGTACCACATGTAAGAGACCATGTGCTACATGTTTGGTTGTTGAATCCTTACTCGGAAATTGCAGGGACTGTTTTGCGCCCAGAAAAGGGGCAGCCCGTTTGGACGAGGATGGAGGAGAACCAAAGAGGACGGATCTTTCAACAGCAGAACTCTTAGTCCTTGCTATGTTTCATCATTAGGGAGGGGGAACGCCTTTCATTGCTAGCCTTCCAGGACTTCCACGCAGAGTTTGGGCTTTGGAGAACTCCGATCTCTCCTTTTACCCCCAACTGTCGGATGCCTTCGGGCAGCAGCTGGTCTTGTTTTTGTCTGAGGAAATCCAAAATGGCATCCGGTTTCCGTGTTGGTGTCCTTTAGAACCAAAACCAAGGGGTACCCCCAACAGCCGGCTCGTGTTTTGATGCTAAGGACATGCTGGAGGAAGGCATTGCGGCTATTTTGGACTCGCAGGTCGCTCGCATGCATGATAATTATTGCACCCAGGGTCCAGACTAACACAACTTGTTACGTTTGTGCATATTGATTGAATATATATCTGCCAAAGCGCGTTCTACACAAATTCATTGGCCGAGCAAGACCATATCTGGCATGCTGTCGTTTTTTGCCAGCCTGGCATGCCGCTGGTTGAGAGGCCGCTGCTCCAATTTTGGGCCGGGGAAGTGGGAAATCGGGTCCAAGACCTGTGAAGAAGACAGACCCCAGGCTGTAGATCTCGGGCGGGACACTCTCTGCTTGGATGTTGGCAGCCAGTGCCGTCGCCCTCCCAGGACTTTCAGAGTCTAGAGGCGAACTGGCTCCTGAACCGGCACAAGCTTCAATGGGCCATTGGATTCAATCCAAGTTGCCTCTTCAAAAGAACGGCACCTTGGCATGGGATGGCATATTTGTGTCTGAAAGCCGCTTCCAATGGCTTGACATGCGGATGTCAGAGCCGAGGTGAACGGCATTCCTCTTGCTTGTTTTCAGGGGACTCCAGAAGAGGCTGGCATCTTCACGAGCGAGGTCCTTGTGAACGTGAAAGAACTGCAAGAGGGAGCTACGCTGGAGGAGGTTTTGGAATCCATTCAGGAGGCCTGCGATGAACTCGCTGCCATCAACGCGGCGCACGATGAGAAGTACATGCACGAAGAGCTCTTTTGCCACAATCAGAGGCTTTGGCTGGCAACGCGCAACATCCTCACCAGCAGCTCTGTGTTTGTCAGCGGTATTGACCACGTGGAGCAGATCAGGATGTCATGGTCGAACATCTGAGACGCTTAGCCCAATCCCCAAAGAACAGACAAGACCCAGCAGGGCATGGTTTCGGATACCAAACTCGGGCATGTGATGATTCCCCTTTTGTTGTGGCATTGGTGTTATTCAGTCTATTTGGAATGGTCATTTTGGTAGTGCAATGCACTTCCCCTGCAAGGACGCTTCTGAACGAGCAAGCCAAAACCGATCGCCTACCAGCACACAACACTTTGCAGGGCTTGCTTCTGCTACGTTCAGCTTGGAACTTGTACGATTTGTTTGCAGGAGTGGCCCTGAAGTACAAACGACTTACAAAGCTGTCATATGTTCTGGTGATGGCTCCTTGGATGCAAAGATATTCGGCTTGAGATGGCCCCTGGTACCACAATGTCAGAGCAGTTGGCTGTGTCGTTCTGCGGTTGGCCCCACTCTACATGTGTGGCAAAATGTTGTTTCTGGTTTGAATGCTGATGGGTCGGAGACAGGATGCGTGTTTGTTGCACCTTGCTCAGTGTGTTGCTGCTTGTCGGGGGGGGGCAGTTGACAGAACTGATTCTTTCAATGCTGCCGGATAGCACAGCAAGCGATGGGGGACATTCATTAGAGTGGGCTTTCCATTGTGATTGGTGGCATCGTGCCAGTGCATTGCAGCGACCTCTAAGCAGCTTGCCCGGGGCAAATTGCATTGCATCTTTGTACCATATTTGCTCTTGTGTCGGCTTTCTTGAGTTTAGCATTTGCCTGTGTTCTTTGGCACGGCAACGACGACCGCCCATTCTGTATCCTATACATACGGCTTCCCCACAGCTTGGTCAAGCATGCAGGCTGCCAGATTCAGCTTTGGCATGTCAGTCGCAATGCCACTAGTGCCACTCAGGGAGCTTGCACAGTGCAGGAACCTAAAGCTGTGCGGGAGCAAGCCTCTGGAAATTTCGGAATTGTTCGAGGCTTCGCATGTGAGGTCCTTGGCGTGGTGGTGATTTTTATTAGCTGCTTCGAGTCCGTGGGAAGCCTCGAGGTGATGCGCTTGCGCTGCTTGCGTTCTCGCGTCTTCGCTGTTTTCAATGCAAGGGTTAGGCGCATGTTGGCCCATCCTGGCGCTTGAGCCAGAACGTAAGGAGTCCCAACGTTGTTTTTACATAGATGATATATGTGGCGTACTTCGCCAACATGAATTGTCTTTGCTGAGCGGCTCCCCGAGCCTGCAAGTCAATGCCAGCTGCAAACCGTGCTTTAGAATGCACATGCTGATTGAGGGGGCTGGATCAATCAAACTATTGCGGCGCAGGCAGAGACAAGCAAACTGTCCGTTCTGTCCTTGGCTTTGGCTACTGGAGCTATTCAGACCTGGACCTCCGTGACTGACCCCTCGAACAAGTGGCGGAAACTTCGGTCAGGCTCCGTGACTCAGCTTTGAAAGTTCGGCACTTCTTCTCCATTTATCGTTAGCCTGTCGCGTCATTGAGCAGCTTTGCTTTCGAAACGTTGGCAATCAACATCAAGGGATCCAAGAGGAAATGTCAGACTCGCGAATCGGCAAGATCCGGAAAACCAGAGTTTGGAGGCCTTTTGGTCACCCTCCCATTCTCCGGCCGTCTCCTTTTGTCCCTTTGGGCTGCAATAGGAAGAACATGGACATTACGCTTGAAATTGTCCAGTGTCGAAGAGGGCCATTCTTAATGGAAGAACTTGCGTGATTTTTGAGAGGGAGTGCGGTTGTCAACCTATTTTAATAGCAAGCGTTGGTACAAAAGCTGTTCCTGGCAAGCTGCTTTGCTTGGCATTTGGAAAGGCAACACTTGGAACTACGACAGGAAGTACAATGTAGTGGTAATGGCAGAAGTCATGGCGAGCACCTTTCTGTTTTGGGTTTAGTAGATACTTGGCTGGCAGCAGGTGCGTAGTTTGGGGGGTTCTGGCAGGAATATAGCCAAACAGAATCAATGTAATCTTTGAGCAACACTTTTTGGGATGGCTGGCAGTCGGTCAGACAAGGGACTGTCTTTCATCAGGAATGAGGGGATGCAGTGGTTGGATGTCATCAATATGCAATTGAGAGGTATTCATGGCTTCAAAAGCAACGACAAGAACCACCCAAGTGGCGTAAGCGATTCGGTGGGAAAACATGCATTGGTTGCACAGATGGGGCAAGTAGTTGACAACCAAACTTGAGCCATCATCGAAGACCTGCTTCATGGAAAGCACTGGGATGGCCACTTCCGCTCTTGGCCTCCTTTTCTCCTCAATTCGACTGTGGATGACCTTATTCATCCAAGTGACTATTCTCCATTAAGGCAGGCGGATTCTGAGGTCCAGGTTTCAATCCTTGCTTCTGAGGTTATCCTCCAGGCGGAGATTTGGAAATATCGCACCCGAATCGGGAATTATGCCATTGCCCACGTGTCACAAGATCCCACGCAGGGTGATCGCCTGGCCGAGCAAAGTTTGCACAAGGCCATCCGAACTGTCAGGGAATCTGTTCTGGAAAGCTCTGGACTGTCGCAGACAAGTGCCTTGGTTGCCCGCGGTCGTGTTTTTTTCTTTTTGCTGTCTGCAAGTATGTGGGGAGATAGAACGCCCAAGCAAACATCTTGGCCGCGGTTTTTTAAAAGGACTTCACGTGCCAAATGCCCCTGAGGCTTTTATGCCAGCACCGCCTTGTGCATGGAAGATGCAGAGGATGCTCCGGGCCCGAAGGCGCATAAGCAGTACCCAGGGAGCAAGGAGGAGATTCCCACAGCTGGAGACAACCACCACTCGCCAGCCAATCCAGAAGAGTATCAGGGCTGCCAGTTCAATCTGTTTGTTCTGTTTGGAGCTTGACAGCGCGACAAAACCCGGCGTTGCTCATTTTCACTTTGCAAAAACTGACACTTGGCTGTCGCCTGCTGTTGGCCGCAGCCTATTGAATGAATCATTGAGGCCTTTTTGACTTGCTTGAAATCTATATTCCGCGAATTGCAGCCTTGCCGACATGTGCTCAGGTACATCCGCTGGCGCATCGAACCCATGCTGCGTTTCTACCAAAGCCGCGTGCCCATCTATTCGCGGGTATTGATTTTCTTGCACGTGATCTCAATCGGACACTCGGAAGAAGCAGTTATGCATCAAGCGACCTGCATAAATACCGAGGCCTGCCTGGGCCCTACCGTGAATGGAAGATGTGAACGAAGTTGGTGAATCCACTTGCAACAAGTTCAGATGTCATCATAAACCTACCATCCCCCAAGAGTTTTGTCTATGAAGTATTGACAGGCAACACCCTCAAGCATTGTCAGTGGACATAAACTCCATGATGTCCACCAACAGTTATCGGCACCGCAGGGTGGGGGAAAGAGAGAGAGAGAGAGAGAGAGACAGAGTGACAGAGGAGGGTTCCTAGTTCTGAATCATCCGGGTGTGTCATTTTTCGACGCTACCGTTTCTTTCCCTTTGAAAGGAAACCGAAAGGAGAACCGAAAATCATTGGAGGTCCAAATCCTTACAAGAATAGCTTGAGGCTCCTCCATCCTTACGGCCGTGCTGGCGCTTGCGAATCTGAACTCCTGGACACCCCTGGTGGTTGCCGTTTCCAGCAGCTTCGCAGCTTGGGAGGAGTTCGCGGCGACCGGGAAGAAGCTGCAACTTCACATGCCCAACAGGGCCATTTTAGTAGGTGGTTCTACTGGTTTAATAGGTATGTTCATCCCCCTATGGGCCTACAAAACCATGCCTGCCTTTATGGCGAGATTTAGCCATGATTTAGGTCTTAGGTCCTTCTCCAAGCAGATCATTTGCTCTGCAAGGTTGGTGGACATGAACCCCCCCGAATGTTCAGAGGCTCCCAGCTAAAACCCAAACCAAGTTCATGCTGGCCTGAGCTAACCTAGATGCAGCGGAATGTTATGTGTGTTTTTCTTGGCACTTTAACTTGCTTAAATGATCACGAATGGATTGTTCTTTAATGTTTGGGCAGAACAATGCAACAACAAGATGATGTGATTCTTTGTGCCAGTATGTGACTGTTCCACTTCTGATTATTCAATGTAGCGCGATCGCTTGTGACACTGCCTCCGTTTGCGCCAGAGTCACGATTCCGCCATGCCGCATTCCAGGCAGCGCTATGCGGCAGCGATCGACACCTTGAGCAGCTTAATTATGTGGTGGCAGTCTTTGACGTCTGTGGATGAGGCAGATACTCGAAGCTTGGTGGCAGCTGCCATTTTAGCCCACAACTGGGAAGTACTTGTAGAAACGGGGCGTGTCCGGCGGCGCTGCAGCCGCCATGCTGAGGAAACATCGAGCACTTGGTAAATACTGCCGAAGCGACCCTGGCATCTGAACACACAGCTTGGATGAGCGATGCCCTGAAGGCACAGCAAATGGTGGAGGAGAGTTTGCAAAAGCATCGAGGCGTGGGAGAAGAAGGTCTTCGTTTGAAGAAAGCCATCAATCAGGATGATGGATGAAAGGCTGGACAGAGATTATGCCTGCCTGATGTCATGGTACTCGGCCAATGCTGGAGTTGTTCAGCTGCATATCCGATTGGAGATGGCAGCCAGCACAGCTGTGGTGAATAGCGCTGCAGCGACTGGCAGAAGCAAAGGCATCTTGCAACGCTGCACAAGCGGCGGCAGGATCGATGCACAGAAAAAGTGGTTTGGCGGATCCCAGCTGAAGAGATGTCTTGGCAGTTTGTTTCGGGTTGGTGGCAGGATGCTTCCGGATACTTTTGTACAGCAACATTTGTCCAGCTGCCACCAATCAGGCCCATCCTAGAGGTGCTGAAGCCTGGTAGAAGATACAATTTCACAGCGCAACTGTGTAGAATCCAAGCGTTTAAGAGCGTTTAACAGTTGATGGTAACCAAATTGATGTGCCACATGCAAACGCGATCTTACGCTCAAGTTGAACTTGACGAAGCCAAAGTGCCTGCGGCTGTACAAGGAGTAGAGCGATGCATTGCCTCCTGGTCAGGCTTTCTAACCAGAGGTCGCAGTTGTCAGCAATCTAACCAGGGGATGTGCATTTCTTTGCGTGTGTGTTTCCAGATGTCTTAATAAGTTCAAAGACCAAAGGGACATGTCAAAGGATGCCCAAGCTTTCATCATCGCACCTTTGGAACATTTTCCTTCCAGTTGCTTCACTGCACATGACCAGCAGATGTGCTACGCGATTTTCGCGATAGCCGGCCCAGGATGCGCCTCACAGTGCCCGGTGGTCGTGCAGGCGACGCCTTTGCGAACCGTGGCTTGGATGCAAAGCGGGGCGTTGATTCCCTCGTGATCCATTTTGGAGCCTTTGGAGCTGAAGCTGCGGATGAAGCGAAGCAAGCCTTGGCTGTGGGGCTCATGAGCGTTGCGTGTGAAAGTCTCGGCCGTGGCTCTACCCCCGAGCGGTTTTTTCTCCGCGTGGCTTGGGTGCTAGGTATGGGCGCCTCGCGTGCCATGCTGCTGGCATTGAACAGCTGTCGCCTTAGTGCACCACCGCGTTGCAAGCAGGTCACCTCCACCAAACAAGTGAGCCAGGCACAAGGAGGATTCTTACGCTAGCATTCTATTTTGTTGCCGCTTCTGAAATGACATGCTCTGACTTGATCTTAATGCCATTGTGAATAAGACGTATCAGGTACTTGGAGGGGTATTTGAACATGACATTCCACGGCATGCTCACGCTCGCTCGATCTGAAGCAGTTCGGTTCATGTTGATTCTGCCAGGTAAAACTAGGCAACGTGATGTTTGCAAAGATGTGCTTGTTCTGCCCGAGTGGCATTCACGGCATGAGCAGGCCGCCCCTTCCCACTTGGATGCTTCCTGTGTCCCTTCTTGTTTCTGCCGCGTGGCCTAGACTGCGGAGTCGGCGAGTGGAGCCAGGAAGAGGCTCACGGACACCTCTTTCTGTCTCTTTACAGCAGCCATGCGTCGGGGCACATCAGTTGACACACAGCCTTTTCAGGACGTGTGACGGTATGTGGGGCAAAACTTGAAATGACAGGAAACAACTTGTTCGGAGTGGTGACCAGCATGCCCAAGCCACTTTAGCAAGGTCGGATTCAAGCGTGCACAGACAAAACACATGTTCACTGCAGATGTGGTTTGCTGGGGCTGAATGGCCATGGCAGGGAACCGTACATATAGTGAACTTCGATGCAACGCCTGTATGGCACATGTATGCATGCCCACATGTTTAAGCCATTAACACTTGCTCAATGGTACGACAAAGTTCTTGCTCAAGCAGCTTTGGCTTTTCTTAGTAGTCCCTTCTCTTTCTACTTGGGCAGCCCTTCTAGTCTATTACCAGCGGCGACTTCTGCCTGGGTCAAGACCAGCTTGCTTTTTTGTGCGTACCTCACTTTTCCCGGCAGGAGCCCGAAAACTGTCTTCACATTTCCGTGGGCCTTAGGCCTAAGGCCCACGGCCACGGGGCGTTGCGTGGATCGCGGGAGACCCATAGGTGCAGCTCTTCCGCGCCCTGAACTCCGTGCAAACAGAGCTGAAGGCCGGCGCCGATGCGCTGGAGGCAGGGCATCCCAGGGCCATTCCAAAGCGCGGCGGTGGTACTGGGTTTGCCTGGGTTTTCCCCGGGTTTGCCTGATTTGATCGGCGGAAATTGAAGGTGTAGAGCTCTCCTGTTGGCAACGTCGGGAAGGGGGGGGGGGCTTCAGCATGTAGGTGCAGGAAGCTGAAATATTGACACAGTGATTTGGCAGTCCAGCTTCATGGTTGATCCTACTTCGATAGTTTCCTGACAGAAAATTCGATCAGGAAACTAGGAAGGTAGGGACTCAGTGGCCTCAAAGCATACATGCCCTCATGTTGGCTCTTCCAGCTTTCGGCCCTTGCTCAGTTGGACCTCTTCTGCTCTCCGACGGCTGCCAGCTGCAGAGCAACGCCCGGTCCTGGGATGTCCTGTGTCGAAACAATTCGCAAGCCTTTGAAACTCGAAGATGAGCAAAGCCCATGACCAACACCGCCACTTGTGTTCAAAAGGATGCTGGCGTTGCATAGCAACATAAACTGATTTATATAAGTTCTACATGTCCTGCACTGGCATGTGCAACCGGATGAAACTTGTAGCTGTTTCCTGCATAGCTGGAAACTGACACCGGCCGTTTGCTTCTTGGGATGTGGAAGGCATGTCCAATCTCATCACTCCTTTGTGCTTGGGAATTGGACCTTTCTGCCAATGATTGGTCTTAGGGTTGACTACAAGCAAATCGTGAGGGGACGCCCAGTGAGTGAAGTGCTTGCTGACGGCCTGCAGTCGTAGCCTTCCAGCATAATAGCCAATGGCAGTCACTGTATGCGAGGAGGGATTGCGCCAGGTGAATTCTACGGGGAACAAATTCGCCCCAAACTGCCGACCTGCCGCGCCTCAACATGAGCTAAGTTTGTCCCTAGCAATCAGCCCATCGAGTCATCTCATGATGGCGCGACTGATCGCAACCTTCGCTCTTTTTACTGCTGCCTCGGCCTCTTGTGCAGCCCAGCTGCAGCCATTTGGAGTGAGCCATTGCTGAACAGGGCACTCTTAGTCTTAGTCAATCAAAAAGTCTGTGTGAAGGTCAAGGTGCACAATCCATTGCCCTGACAAAGCAAAACAAACAAAACAAAATCTTCCTGAAGGCGCATTGCGCTTTGCTTGAGGTTTGTATGTGGGGGGAAAGGGTGGTAGTGTAAGAGTGACGGTGCCCTGTCCCCCTTAGAATCTGGCAACGGTCGGGGGTTCAGGCAAGGGCCCCTGCGGACAGGCGCTGCCCTCACGATCACAGCCGTGTAATCAAATGCAGTTCAGAGTCTGCGGCTGACAGTTCGAAGTTGAGCACGTTTGCACCTGAACCTTTCCAAAGATCACGTGCAGACTCATCCGGATCTTGGAGGCCCATACAAAAACGGAAGCTTTGTGATCATTGCCCCCGTGCGTCCACGTTGCTTTGTTGCATGCTGGCTTGAGATGGCTTATTCGCGGCCGTCTCACTGAGACTTTGAGGGATGTATTCTGCCCAATGAGACACCATTCTGAGCATGAGACATCGCCCCAGCTTTTGTGTGGAGTGCATTGAGTCCCCCGGCAGCCCGCTCAGAGCCTGACGCCTAGGCTGAGGATCCATCTTCGCCTTCTTGCGCTGCAAAGGGCGCGGAACTGCTTCAGAAGACCTCCTTCACCAAAGGAACCAACCTGCAGCTGGAAGCTGAGGCAGCCCCGTTGGTTTTGTTCTCAGCGGCATGAAGTCCGCTGTAAGCAAATCATGGCTGTAAAACATGGCTTAACCGCGTGCAGAGCAAGCATTGCTAAGCCATGATGATGACAAGCTTGCAGACTTCGGTATGAGCAATCCGGAAAACATGGTCATGCGATTTAAACTCAATTGCAGAGCCAATCCAAGACTGGCCCAAGACAGGTCGACGCCATGTAACACTGACTTGCACTTGCACTTTGAAGCAGCGCAGTTGTTTTGTCAACTGTTTCAAGTATATAAAAGAGCGCCATTGCCCTTTTTGTCCTTTCATTTTGAAGCGTATCAGTCAGTGCCCAAGAAGAAGGACCTTCAAGTCAAACATATTCTAACAACTGCGACCTTGGTTTCTCAAGACAACCTAAGCCTATGTGCATCTTGAGTCTGCGATGGTTCGGATCTGCTGTTTCATGTCGCAGTGTCCTTTTTTCAGGAGGACCCCCCCTTTAAAACTAACAAAACATCAAATTAAACACATATCTCGGTGTTCCTTTATGTTCCTTTAGTTTTTCCATTAAAACCAGGCAACCACTTCAAAGGGGTTTGAACAAAAAGACGGGCCCATGGGCCTCGTGGGCCTCGGCACGCCTCGGCGCGCCTCGCGAAGCCCTCGAAGCTTCACGCAGGCGGTGCGCCTGGAGAGCTTCCAGGGCTTCGAGGCCCGGGTGGAGGCGTCCTACGCCTTGGCGCGGCAGCTGTCCCAACGCACCAAGCTGCTCATCGAACAGGACTGCCAGATCTGGAGTGGATGTCTCGGATTGGGAATTTTGGTGGTCAAACCGTCAAACCCACAAAGCAAGCCCAAAAAGGGAAAAAAGAGAGGTGGACTCGTTTGTTTTGGTGTCAAAGTTTGACAAGGGAGGAAGCCAAAAAACAATGGGAAGTCCGAAAACAAAGGCAGGGCTTCCTCCATGTCCTTTGTTGGAACCTCTAAAAGTGGGAGTTTCAATGGAAACTGCCAGGCAGTTGCAACTTTGGAAGGAGAAGCTCAGTGAGCCCTGGCGTGGGCTTGTACGTGTTTTAGGGTACCATGTACCCCCCAAAAGGGGTTGGTTTAAATGGACACCCACCTTGTCTGACAAAGCAAGTAGAGAGGAAGGGGAAAGGAAGTGGAGGCGCTGAAACACTCGGCTCAGTTTTATCCATGCATGACCCTTGGACAAGATGTGCTTGGGTATTGAGGCATTGGCCAACAGGGGCCTGGCTTTCTGGCTCCGGCAAGTTGATTGGGCAGAATTGCAAGATCGCCGAAATGGGCAACTAGCTGAAGCCAATCCAGCAGCTGGCTCACTGACACTAGCGGACATTTGTTTGTCGCAATCAACCGCAATCAACCGAGACACGGCCTTCACCGCTGGCCATGACTTGCACTTCGGGATGTTTTGATACTTGAGCCTTCAGCCTTGGAAGGACCTGGGCGAGTTGGGCCGCTCGCTGGTCCGAACCTTTCAGACGCAGGCTCGCTGGTGGGCATAAAGGGGGCAGCACCTAGATCTTAACCGAGGAAGCCGTAGAGCACGTGTGGTTTCTGATGGTTTGGCGGGAATCCTCGCAAATGGGTGGCAAGCGATTGGCCGAACTTGTCTTGGTGAGACATGGTGACAAGATGTTCAGATGTTCATCCTGGGGCTTGTGTGGACTCAAACCTGAGCTCAGCTTCGATCTCAGGAGACCTGCCTGGACAACGCCCATGGCGCCTTTGCGGAGTTTTTGCATTCCTCGGGTTTGGCTGTTGAGCTCCTGCCAGCGGAAGCCGCAGCCTTCCAGGCAGGTCGGGAGGGAGGGAATGGCGAGGGGGAAAGCAAGCCTCCCGACGCAAGGCATGCACCAAACTTGAGAATCTTGTAGAATCCTGTAGAACACTCAAGACTCCACATAGCGATCAAAGCCAAGAAGAAGCGTTGCGGGCTTCATCTCCAGCGCAGTTTGTAATCTCGTAAAGCCAGCAGCCAAGATACACCACGTAATCAGCGGTACATCCGCATCTTCAGCTTGGCTTCGGCCAATCCAACTCGTCAATCCAACAGACCCAACAAAAGTTATTGGTGCTGTTTTTTGTTTTTACCAATAATTGTTCTCAAACCTGATCACAGGCTACAATACCCTTGCAGCGGGGTCAAGGATGGTGGACATGCTTTGGGGGCACGGGGCATAGACATGGCTTCTCCGGCGCTGGCAGTGACATGTCTTGTTGACTGACAGCATGTGATCACGAACGCTTGTGTGTACCTGGGGAGGGGGGGGGGGTTGGGGAGGCACACTGGCATTTGCCGTGCGGCCGACATAATTGAGTAATTCCAAATTGGCAGCACGCTGAGTTATTTGGCATTATGATCATGCTTTGTTTGAGCTGTTGCGTGAGATGTTCTGAGCGCATTCCATAATATGGGGCATAGAGCGAGTCAAGAGCGGATGTAATCGTGCTTGCTCGAAGGAGCGTGTCATGGATGAGATGGAGGTCTTTTGCAAGCACCATGCCACTCGGCGTTTGACTAGTGGATGGCAAGCGTGACGCGGCTGTCAAGCGGGCGTGAGTTGGGGCGGAATGTTGTGTCTTGTTGGTTCAGGGTATTGTGCATGACCTTGTTTCCGACACTGAGATGGGGGGCAGCCCGGCACATCCAATTTCAGTAAACACCCTGCTGGTTCTTGTGCCCTTGCGAACAGCAGTTGTGGCAGAAAGGCGGAGTGACAGCGGTCAGTTCCAAACTTTCAAGCCGATGGCAAGCAGGAATGCAGATGTAAAACTGACCACCCCTCCGCGTCTTCACACCCTTGAAAGAGATTGAAAAGCATCTCGGCTGCTGATGGTAAGGCCACAGACACTATCCCAGATGCCAGCCAGCAGGCAGGGTGTCGACAGACCATGGGCAGGTTGGATAGTCGAACCTTCGAAGAACCTATGCGATGATCTGGGCACAGTTCATTTAACTACAACCAGAATGCTTGCTGCGATGCGGCTTCGGCTTGAAAGGACAGCTAGAGCCACCATTTCTAGACAATGATGCACTGGTCCAAGACTAAGAAAAGTTTGCGTGTTGCTTCGCATAAGTTATCGGCCAACTTGGATCTCGTCTCAAGGATGGCAGCAATGCAGTTGCTGCGGGATGTGAAGCAGCATATTTGTGAGCAAGACGTAGCTTAGTTGTGTGCATTGCTGCTTTTGCCAGAGTACGCATTCCATCATTAAAAGCCCACATGTAATTGCTGCACGTTCTTGTTTGAGCCGGCCCAGCCCTGCTTCGTGGCTTGCAAAGCACCGCATTTTGATTGAGTTGGTTGGATGCCAGATTCCTGAATGCTTCTGATTGTATGCCCTGTCTTTCACTAAGTCACTAAGCTGGTGTGAAAGTGATGTCAGCGTTGAGTCCTGGCACGGTACCTGCATCGCCAGGCAAGTGTGTGGCTGGAGGACTTCATCACTGCGCTGCAGGATGAGCAACCACTGCTGACAGCCCGCCTGGCGGGGATCCTGGAGGCACCGGCCCGGGGCAGGGGATCAAGTCGAGTCAGATTCGAAAGAGGCGATCGAAATCTGTCAGCGTTGCTGTCCGAAGTGCCGCGCAGGCCAGCCAAGACAACTTCACTATGGAGCTTGCAAGCTGGTTCCTGAACTTCTCTGCGGCGGATTTGCGCCGCAGGACTGGCATCGTG